TTGGGGAGAGGGTGGTTATAAAAGTTCTTAAACAGAGGAGTGAGAATAAAGCTAGACCAATGAAAATGTAAACGACTGTAGGAGAAGGCCAATTAGCAGCTATGGGTACGTGTAATACTCTGGGTCCAGCCTACTAGCCTACCATGATAGCTGTGAGAATAAAAAGATCACACAGAAAAAAAAAAAAGAAATGTCAACACTCATTTCTAATTCATTGGTTGTACATTGAGCAAAGTAGAAGTAATCAGAATGTAATATGAAATGAAGGTTTCAAATCTGAGGGAAAAAACAAGCAATGAGAAATGTAACCCCGTTTTGGGTTAAGACTCAATGATTTCAATTGGTCAAGTACCCAAGTAGAAATTGGGAGAGACGTTAAAGTGGGAGACACAAACTTCCTTAAATCTTCCATTTTCACTAGTATTAAATCAGAGCTCCCAACTGTGTCCAAGTATGCCAGAATTGTAACTGTAATCTTGCCCATAGGTTTCTATAACATTCTTTGAAACTAGCCAAATTTGTATTCAAAACCACTGAGAAAAGAATTACATTCTCACTGCAAAAAAGATATTTGCATTCAAGTAAAAGTAAAAGATAACATGAGTAGGCACCTCCTTGTGACAAATAAGATGGAGCGGGAGGGCCCTCACAGAAAGTTTTCTCTATACTTTCTTCTCCCTCTGAAGAAAATGCCAGTCCCTAACTGTCTAGATAGATTTTCTGCATCATTTCACATACGTACTTTTCCCAGAAACAGTCACCAAAAAAAACATGCCCCCTGATGCTTATCTTCAAGTTTTACCTGAAGCACATTTTTACAGCCAATTTTCAAATTCCTAAAATCAAATGGAAATACTGATATGATCATAGATGGAAACTCTAATCTGACTAATACAAGTATTTTGTAAGGGTCAGTTTTAGCACATAATCTACACAAGTATCTACTGGCCTTACGTCATTCTTCTTAACTCAGATTCATATTATCTACATTTAAAAGTATTATTTCCCTTCTTACAGAGTTAATCAGTCTTTAGCATTAACTTGCTTTTCAGGAAGGATTCTTATTTGGGCTTAAGAAATTACATGTTGACACATTAACGTTGGTGGGGTTTTTAAAAATATGTTCGTATTTGGCCCACAATTTATTTGCTTATCTCCCATTCTCAAATACTTATCCTAATAAAAGGGACAAGGTAAACTGTATAACACAACACCAGAAATGACCTTTTGTATCTAGCTAAGGGAGAGTAGCTGATTAGCTTTGAGTAAAGACACACTGACTTTACAATGTCTGGCCCAATCTCCTGAGCCAGGCTATTTTGGGTATCCAAGTACTTGTCTGACTGTGTAAGGTGAAGACTCCACATTACTAACATAATTCACTAATAGAAAACCAAGATACATCTTAATATAAAATAATATACCACCAAGGATTCCAAACACAATCCACTTATTTTTTAAAAAAATTATTTAATCTGACTGACTTCATTTGAAGGTTTGTTTCACTTCAGGTCAGAGCCACTGAGACATTGGAGATCTGTGTGACTGTTGTATTACAAAGCAACTGAATCATGATCCCTATTATTTTCCCATGATATACTTCTGATGTGTTTTTACTGTGCTTAATATATGAGAAAACTCCCCATATGTTTCTAAGGGCACCAAAATCTAGTCAACAGATATCATTCATTTAAACATTTTATAAATCCAGAAAAGATTTTCCAAAGTGCTCATCTGGTTGTCTGAAATGCAAAGCCTTATCTACAATAACTACATGCCTTTCAAGGGAACATGGGAAACAAGCCTTTGAAACATCCTTAGTTTCTAACATCCTTAGAAACAAGAAGGTAAATATGCCAACTGGAACTAATTGATTAAATTCACTAGTTAACACTGCTTTCAAAATGCATAATATCTGGGAACTGAATATTACTCATCCTTTTTTAGATTTGCTTTTCTTCAGTCTGGCCGACATTGCCCTCAAAATATCAACTAAGAAGAGATACGTGGAAATGGGGAAGAAAAAATATATGTACTTTACTGGGGTTATCTACCCTAGACTTTTTTTTTATTAGAACTCATTTGATATCTTTTGTGAAGCAAAAAAATATGGATGTCAAGGGCCCCGTTAAATGATCTTTTAGGGAAATAAATGGTTGTGGGCAATATTGATGAGGGTTTCCTTACAACAGAGCACCAACTTTGAGCTGTGAAATATGAGAAAGCATTCAACATATAAATAAAACATCTCTTGCCTCCTTCCTAAGTATGACAGAGCTCAAATTTATTTTATACTCCAAGTTAATGGAAGGCAGGAAACAAACATATTTAAAGCACACCCTATGGAAAAAAAGTTCTACAGTGAACTATCACCACATGCAAAAAGAGTTCTGTATAACAAAGCTATTTCCATGTCCCCAGGGGGTGACCCAGAAAAAAGGAGTGCTTTGACCTGGTTATAACAAATTCTCTCTCTCTTGGTAACCTATCCTGGTCTTTAACAAATTATCACTCTCAAAGGTTTTCCTTCTATCAAATCCAAATCCTCACTGTTAGAAGTTCAAGTTCATTTCCTTCTTTTGAGGAGCCAATTACTGAAGATGCGTCAAGAAGGAAAAATTAATGTCAGCATTCAAAAGAAATGACCATATGAAACTAGGTTTATTACGAGATTTTTTAAAAATAGCTCTAGTACAAAAGGCTTAAAAAACAGCAAATTATATTTGGATAAGAGACTTCTTATCTAAACAGCAATCCAATCTCATTTTAAAACTGAAGTAAAGTATTCTCACCATTTGGAGCTGCTGGTAATGAAGGAAATACTTCGTACTTAGGTCTGACATATTAAAAGGTCATGAAAAGCTATATTTCCACTGTCCTCCTAGAATCTGCCCGAAAAACTTGCAAAGCAAACTGAACATTATGTAATTCCAAGCAGATCTGCCTATTTATCCATATCATGAATCAGGCCCAACTCTCACTGTATTCAGTTTGTCTAATGTTGTTGTGGCCCCCATCAATGACCTACAAGAGTCCCCGTGACCCTGTAGGCTGCAGTTACCTCCATTAAAACCTTCAAACCAACGACTCAAAGCTCAAAAGAAATCCACTTTTACAAGTACTTCCCAAAGGCAATGAGAAAGGCTTGAAGCTGTTGATTATTTGTTCTTACAACATTTTTTAAACTTTCCTTCCTGCAATTCTATTGCTCACTTTTAACCCTGTTTCCTATTTCTCTCCATTTCTCGTCTACCAACACCCTATTCCCTAGCAAGAGAGATTAGTTTTTTATTCCTGATCTCTCCCTGCTTCTTTTCTCTTTCGGTAGTGGGCTTCTAGTCAGTTTTACTGACAAGTTTAAAGGTACACAGGCTGTGGAGTGGCAAAAATGCAGAGCGACAGGGAAAGTATGTTCCTTACCCCCCTTGACGTAGTTTTGTGAATTATTCTTCTCTTAAGCAAACTGGTACCCACAAAGTAACGACTGGTAAAGATGGGCAAAAACACTTGGTAACTTCTCACACACGACACATTCATATATATTAGCTTCAGCACTTTCACAGAAATCCTATCATGTGAACCGAGGTTAAAAAGATAGATCTATGAATAGAATTCATCCACAAATGGAACCGCTTGTACATTCTTTTGCCAGAAGTAAAACATATTTACAAAAGAAATACAACATTTGCAAGATACTTATATATGCACCAAATAGATAAGACCCAATATTCAAGCCATATTTGAAAATTAATCCAAATTCATTGCAAAGATACACTCATCAGTTTCTTAATATTTTTTAAAAAGCTCATCAGTCTTAAAAAAGTAGAAGGGCTTTAGAGCTGATTAGTATGATGAAAGTCACTATTAAATTCTCCAGTATATAAACAAATAGCTCATGAAGTCTTTATACCCAAAGATATCACACACTGCCTGTAAGTAATACCTAATTTTATCAGTACAATTCCCTCTGAAAATAAACATGGGTATTCCATACATATCATTGGCTTTATCCTATAATGCTGTGTTTTAGAAGTAAGCCTCGTTTCTCAAATCAAATTTTCATAACCTTAGTAGTAGGAGCCTTAAAATCATTTTGTTAGGTTTGACAATGTGCCAGTGTAGGGCATGGGAGGGGACTCAATCATCAGCTACAGAGACAGTGAGCTTTTATCAACACATTCGAGTCAATGCTGAGCCTGGTGCGCTACTGCAGAGCAATTGAGTGTTTTCCCCACAGGCTGTAACTGATTATTGACTCCCCTCCATTAGCATGCAGGGTGCATACTGAAGGTTCAGATAGAAGACTGAGGGACTCCTATCCCAAGGCCAGTGCTGAAAGACAGCCTATCACTTTGTGTAACTGCGGTCTATGTGTGACAAACCTGACCTACATTTTTCCCTTTCTTTCTCACAAGAGCTTGTCACTGTTTTAAGAAGCTATTTTCTAAAACACATAAAAGAAATGACTTTTAAAACTGCTTAGGAAAGGTGCATTCCTAAAATACCATTTATAGCAATCTTATAAAGAATAGTTTATTCAGGAGACAATCATGAAACCTAGCCTAAAACAAGCCTGAAAGACAGCAGAGTGCTTTATGATGTTATCCCCTATCATACCCTCCTTTTGATGGTCATTTATATAGAACTCATTGTTAAAAATGCTACAATTAAAATTTGAATCAGTACATAATTAAATTTAACAATAAGAAGTTATTAAACATATTAATTAGAAATGTGTAATTAAACATTTTTCATTAGTTAGAAAAAGTAGCTTTCATGGCTTCCTAAGAAGCCACATCCTAGTAGTTTTGTTAACTTCTCAATGGATACACAATAATCACTGCTAAGAGAAAGACCTAGTTAAAACAGTGATGGAGGGGGAGAGTAAAGAAGGCTATAACAACTTGGTACGAAGGCTGCAAAATGCTCCCCAGGAAAGGTTGCAGACTGTGCTTCAAAGAGTTGCCAGTGTACTGTGGCTCCTCACCCCAAGTACCCACCATGCCGCTGCAGGTCATACTCTTTTTTTGTCTCTTCATTCCCTAGAATTTTCCATGCCTGATCAATTTCGATGAACTTCTGTATACATTCCTCCACTGTTCCTGCTGGCACATCTGCACTTTGTTTATCTGGATGATACTGCCAATCAAAAATAAAGGGGGTGGTGAATAGAGGGGGTTGATGGGGTAGGTTAAAAACAAAAACAAAACAAAACAAAAAAACCCAAAACTTGTAAATCTAAGTTTTAGTTAAGAAAGAAGGTGATGAGAAGATGAAAGCTAAGATGCCAAGGCAATGAGGCAACTGTGTTGGGCACAGGAGACAAGTGCCAGGTTAATTAGACCACTGGAGTATCTATAAATCCACCAGTGACATGATCTGTCACAACATGCAAAGACAGCATTTTCTGGATAATTTGCTGATGGAATCACTGGTCTCATGGACAATTTACCTAGAGAGGATAACTAACACAAACAGAAATAGGTACGTGCAGACGAGCAGGACATGACAAAGAAAGGGCACAAACTATGCAGAGTATGAAGCTTTCCTTATATAAGGTGCTTAGCTGTAAAAACCATCACAAATGAACTATACTAGCTTTTTCTTATGAAAGCAGATTATACAATCATACTTGAAAATAAATACCTTTCATCTTCCAGCTCAGCCCTGAAGATTTTAAAGTTACAAATCCCCATACATAAATTTTTGTTGAAAAATAGTTATTCTAGGGCAGATTGGTAAGAAACACTGTTTTTGTTTTAAAGATTTATTTCAGAGAGAGAGAGCATGTGTGTGCATGCACACGCACACACATACACACACACACACTAGAAGGGGGAGAGCCAGAGGCAGAGGGAGAGGGAGAGAGAACCTCAAGCAGACTCCCGGCCCAGCACAGAACCCCACATGGGGCTCGATCTCAAGACCCTGAGATCATGACCTGAGCCAAAACCAAGAGTGAGACGCTCAACCAAATGAGCCACCCAGGCGCCCTGGTAAGCAACAACTTTAAAGAACTCAACAAAACATTTGGATATAAGTTAATTCATTAGTAAATCTTTCTCACTTGTGTTCTCCAAATCTAAGAAATTTTTAAAAATGTTTTCAATATGCAGTAGTTTGTTTAAAGTATTTGGTCAAGGGGCGCCTGGGTGGCTCAGTAGTTAAGCGTCTGCCTTTGGCTCAGGTCATGATCCCAGGGTTCTGGGATGGAGCCCCACATCAGGCTCCCTGCTCGGCAGGAGGCCTGCTTCTCCCTCTCCCACTCCCCCTGCTTGTGTTCCCTCTCTCGCTAGGTCTCTGTCAAATAAATAAATAAAATCTTTAAAAATAAATAAATAAATAAAGTATTTGGTCAAAACGAGAACATTTTATACCAATTCGATTCTCAAATGCTAATGTAAATGTGGCTTACTAGATATCTCACTTATATTATCTCCTTTTCCCCCTATATTCTCCGTGGTTCTTCCTTCTCTTTTTATTTCTTGGTTCTGAAAGAATCAAAGTCATTTGCATTTCAGCAGTCTTTCAACAAATAAGCGAGAAAAGGTTATCTAAATGTAGAGACATTTCACTTAAATAATGTAGGGATCATAGTAGCAGATACTCAAATGTGTCATTTTTTCACTCTCAAGTAAACAAGGAACCACTTGATAGTATTCAACTAGAATTTGCCACCAGTAATTACTCTGAATGCTTTATCAAATATGTTACAGAACATACCTAGTTTTAAAAGTTACCTTAGGAATTTCTTTTGAACTAGTAGACTAGTTTTCCTCCTTTAGTGCTTGTCCTTTTTCTTCAAAGTTTTTATAATAAAACAGGCAAAAAAAAAACCCCACCATTTTTACATTTCATGACATTAATATGGTTCGCTCACATACTCATCAATTAATAATGGCATAACCACTTAAATTCTTTCATTGACTATTTTACAGACATTAAAAGAACACAAAAAACTGAAAAGTGCAACGTCATGTATTATCCAAGTTGCTAAGGCCAAAGTCACTCAGTGAATTGTGGCAAGTAACACAAAGTAAAGTGACTTCAATCCTCAATCCAGAATTCAGAAAATATGTAAATTTTTTTTTTTTTAAAGATTTTATTTATTTATTTGACAGAGAGAGAAATAGCGAGACCAGGAACACAAGCAGGGGGAGTGGGAGAGGGAGAAGCAGGCTTCCCGCAGAGCAGGGAGCCCGATGTGGGACTCAATCCCAGGACCCTGGGATCATGACCTGAGCCGAAGGCAGACACTTAACGACTGAGCCACCCAGGCGCCCAAATATGTAAATTTTTAATCATAATGTAGACTACTGGTTTTGACAGTGAATTTGTTTTCATGCTGAACTTCTTCACACTGCTGATGATTCTTGCTAGCAGAGCAAAAGCTATTGTGTTATCTGGTTGCACAGAAGAACATCATGCATGCTGAGAGAAAGATTATAGGGCAAACAAAGAGAATTAGGCTTCCATTTTCCCTCTAGCGAACTATTTCTCTTCCTATGCCAAATTTAACAGTTATCAACATTTAAATATTTAAGCTAATTAATATAATGACTGAAGAAAAGAAAGGGAAACTAAGGCTTTACTATTTCATCTTTTTATGGTCATGATTTATCAAATGATGCTCATAAAAGTCATTCCCATACCGAGGTCTAGGCAGTCCCTACATTTGGGTTAATATTTAAGTAACATCCCCACACCAAAAAAGAGTTTGCTACATTAAAGTTCTCTAGCTGACCTATTCTTCTAACACTATGTGAAGAAGATTTCTGTAATAAGCCTTGCCAAGAAAGCCCTACAAAATCAAGAATTAGTTTGTGGCCACCCAAAACTAAAAGCTATCACTAAATTTTACTGAGTCATAGATCAGTTCTACGACAGTCCAAGCATAATTCCATTTCTTACTAACTTGTTATTTTCCTGACTGCTATTTTAAATAAGCAACTCACTATCTGAGGCTTTTAGGTCTAATCTTTTGTGCTATTATTAGAATGCAATAAATTTTATTCTATGATACAGAGTCCAATTAAGAAATGGCAATTATTAGCAAGAAAATAAATATGTCATTTAGGGTGCTAAAAGCCTCAGTCCAATCTGTTTTCACAGCAAGTTCCAGAACAAAATGAAGGTCTAAAAGAGAATAACACATTCTGTGGTAGGCTGAAAATGGCACCTAAAGATATCAGGTCCTAATCTCTGGTACCTGTAAAATGTTACCTTATCAGGAAAAAGGATCTTGGAAGATAGAACTTGAAGATCTTTAAATGGAGAGTACTCTGAATTACCAAAGTGGGCCCTAAATTCAATCAAAGTATTCTTATAAGAAAGAGGCAGAGGGAGATTTGACACACAGAAGAGAAGACGGTATGAAGACCATACAGAGAGACAGAGAGGGATTTGAAATAATGGTATCAAAGATTGGGAGTGATGAGTCCATAAGCCAGGGAATGCTGGCAGCCACCAGCATCTAGAAGAGACAAGGAATGTACTCCTACCCCTAGAGCCTTGACTTTGGTTCAGTGACACTGATTTTGGATTTCTAGACTCCAGAATTGTGGAAGAATATAGTTCTGTTGTTTTAAGCCACCATGTTTGTAGTAATTTATTTTGGCAGCTACAAAAAATCATACACTGTGTAAATATATCTATGGTTTATATGGAAATACAAAGGATCTAGAACAGGCAAAAGAATCTTGAAACAGAACAAAGCTGAAGCTACGGTAATCAAGACTGTAGTACTATATCTAAATATATCAGTAGAACAGAATAAAGAGTCTAGAAGTAACAGACCATATATATATAGATATAGATATATAGATACAGATATAGATATGTATAGTCAATTGATTTTCAGCAAAGGTGTCAATGGAATTCAATAAATTGAATTGAAACAACTAGATGCCATGTGGAAAAATTAACCTCAATCCCTATCTCATTTCATATACAAGAATTAACACAAGATGAATGAGTCATAGACATAAATGTAAAACACAGAACCATAAAGCTTCTAGAAGGAAATACAAGAGAATATCTTTGCCCCTTGGGGTAGGCAAAGACTGCTTTGACAGAAAACAAAAAGCACAAACAATAATGACACAAAATGGATAAACTGAACATCAAAGTTTTAAAACTTTCTGCTCAGCAAAGACACCATTAAGAAAATAGACAAGTGACAGACTGGTTAAAAACAAAACAAAACAAAACAAAACAAAACAAAAACTGACTAAATATATATCTAACAAAGCACTTGCATCTAGAATATACAACAATTGGGGAGCCCAGGTGGCTCAGTCAGTTAAGTGTCTGCCTTCGCTCAGGTCATGATCCCAGGGTCCTGGGATGGAGCCCTTGAATCAGGATTCCTGCTTAGTGGGAAGCCTGCCTCTCCCTCTGCCCCTGCCCCTGCTCGTGCTTTCTCTCTCTCAAAATAAATAAAATCCTTAAAAAAGAAATAGAACATACAATAACAACAAAATCCTACAAATTGATGGGAAAAAGACATACTAATTAAAAATCAGGGGGAAAAACACTTTTCAAAGAAGATAGATGAACAGACTATGCGCACATGAACTTGCACTCAAACTTTTTCATTAGTTAACAGGAAAATGTAGATTAAAATTATGACATATCACTAAACACCTAATAGAATGGCTAAAATAAAAAAGACATAACACTAAATGTTGGTGAAGATATGGAATAACTGGAACTCAAATATGGTTCTGGGAGGAAACTATTTGACAATTACTTATAAAGATACACCTATAACCTATTCTGTGGTCAAATAATTTTGGATATTTACTTAAGAGAAATGAAATATAAACATATGCTCACTAAAAGATTTACAAAACAATGTACTCACAGCCTTATTTGCAATAGTCAAAAACTGGAACCATAAAGTCTATCAACAGGAGAATGGATAAACGGTAGTATGTCCATACATAAGGAATTCTATTCAACAATAAAAAAGAAAAATCTATGATATACTCAGTGACATACATGAATATCTAAAACGTTACACTGGACAAGAACAAAAGGGTACATACTATTTGATTGCACTGATATGAAATTTAAATTCAGGTAAATCTATAGTGATAGAAATTAAAAGTTGGTTTCCAGGTGAGAATAGGGGGTGG